CTGTTTCGTAAGGGTATCAACTGATCGTCGTAACTCGGCGATCTCGTCAGCTGAGCTTGATTGGATTTGAGATACAAGGTGAGTCTTGGACCGTTCGTAAATTCTGTCGGCTATGTCTGCTAGTCTATCAAAATCAACGTCTTCGTCTCCAATTGCTAGTATCTGTTGAATGTTTTGAGGGAGACGTCTGAGCCACAATTGATATAGTAGACGTTTGTCTACTGTACGATTTCCTAATAAGTTTGTCATGTGGCGTTTTAACTGTGACGGTGTATTGTCACCTAGCTCTACGTTGGCTAAAAGTTGATCAATTGTCTGTTGGTCGGTGAGAGATGTGACACGAATGACCTCTCTTTTTAGACAATCGAATGGTGAGTCAGGATCCGGCTTAAAAATGACATCCGGCACTTGTTCAATGACGCCATCTGGCAGCAGTGAATTCGCATAACTAAATTTCGTACTCTGGTTTGTGATTTTGTTTGCAACAAAAAAGCTTTCCAAACGAGCAAACCAGAGTTCAGCCTTTCGTGGATTAAAAATGGGTAAAGGTACAGAGATGGCACCCACGGAAATAGATTTAGATGAAAGGCTTAACGAATTATCAAGTGCCATGATACGAAAAAGCAATAGTAATAATAAGCTGAGGATTGTAATATACAATATGAAGAGAAATCAAAAATAACAACAACAAAAATATATATAAGACTCACCGAAAAGAAAAATTGTCACTTTGGGTATATGTATGAGAATATACAGTAATAATTCCAAAGGGAAAATATTATGAGTGAATTTATTATGACTGTCAATGGATTGTTATTAATTATAATAATAATTCCAATATGAAGTTCTTTATGATACTCTTGAGGAGAATGCAGCAGACTTTGGAGGAAAATGGTGCGCGTTCTAAAGGCGGGTCACCAATATGTTAAGGGTAAGGTCCTTTATATCTGACTCCAAATAATAATATTCCGTAACTGAGTATTTAAGGTAGGCTTAATCTCCTAGTAGAATTACGGATTTACTCGAGATTATTAAGAAGCCTGAACACCAGTTATGGAGATAGTTTATTATTAATGAATAATGATAATCCACAAGCGTATTGTGAGCAAGCACACGATGGGAACAGAGAGTGTGAGTTTGTTAAAAATCCATATATATTTTTGAGGGTTAATCAGGTGTGGATAGACTATCGATTATCTGCACGTTGAAACCAATAGGAAAATAGTTTAAAAGTTAATGTACAGACAAGCATTCGATCATACACACCGAAATTAACATAGTGAATTACGAGTCTAAGTTACAATGAATAGACAGATGATACAGTGGCCAAATGGGCTTGCCACAAGCTATTACACTATTTTGTTTTTCATTTCTAAAGACTATTCCCATGCTCTTTACAGTCATCTTTTCTAGAACATTCAGATATTCAATTTATAAATAGATAGCCATTTAAACGAATTTTTAATTCATTCACAATTAATGACCTTTAATAATCTACATTTAGACATCATATCTATTTTAAATCACAACTTTTCTCACTCAAATTATGTATGTTGTTTTGTTTTTAATTCATTAATACCATTGTTTATAGTTTGTAAGGTGTTGAAAAGAATTTGCTAAATAAATGAATTCATATTTATCTGACCATCATCAATATTCTTAATTTAACCAAAATATTATAAGATTGAAATACTAATGAAATTAGGAATTTAACTTACTTTTAAGCATTGATAATGTGATATTATTTATTGGAAAATAGAATAGTATTAGGCAGAAATAATGAAAAACACAGGAATTTCTGTACTGTTTATTTATTTCTCAGGAGTTTAGTTCATTTTATAATAAGTTTCAATCGATTTTCAAGATTTCTGATAAAACCTAGTCTGTTTAGTGGTGTCTATTATAAATACAACGGTCACACAGTCTGGTATCCAATGTTTATTGTTTTTCTTAGTGATTATATGACTAAAAAGACCAAGCTCAAGTTTATTATTCTTAGGATAGAAAGAATTTGAACAGACTTAAGAAATTTCTACACTATATATTACTTGCATAATCTTATAATTGAACTATTCGATTTGGCATATCTCTGCACGCTAAACGGAATGATATTTGGAATGTGAAAAGTTATTCCAATCAGTGATTTTGTGTTGTACACAGGAACATGTGAGTTAAAAAATATCATGAATACTGTGGCGTCAATCAAAATATCTCAATAAGTTTACTGATTGTAACATAGTTCGGCATATTAATATCTTGTACTTAATGACACAGGATTGGTGACATATGGTAGGAATCCTCACTTAATTTACTACTGAAATACCTACATGATCAAAGCATAAAGTGAATACATATTGATTAAGATGATTAAATTCTCTACCAAATGGTTCGATTTCATTTCTCAACGTTAAAGATACGCGTCATGATGACAAATACCTATTTGTCCAAGTTTAATCATTTATGTTCCATACCTCTAGCGAAAACTTTTGATCATATATTTAAAAAAACTAATAGTGAATGATATTGTCATACTTGTAAAAAATTGTTTTGTTAGATATTTGTGCATAACATTGTATCGTTTACCTTTGCTTTACGTGTTATAATTATTATAGATATATCAGTTAAATGAAATTATGAGAAAATCAGAAATAGCCAATTACGAAGCTTTCATGAACTTAAACCATACAAATTGATTATGCTAATAGGAAAGGATGAATATATGCAGCATTAACACAGAATTTCCAATCTTATTTGTAATGAGTTGAGTAGTTTGGAAGGTAATCCAGATATTATTCAATCTCAATGAAACAGAAGTTCAGTTTCGTTAAACAGTTTAAAAACGCTTAGTAACTGCGTAGTGCATATGGCATAAAAATTAGCTCAAGTAATGTGGAATGTATATAGTTATATTCGGCAAGACGATATGATTGATCTGAAAAAGACTATTGATCCAGTTAACTGCTCCAGAAAAAGTACGCGTATAGCCATGGTATTACATAAGCTAGGATCCTCAAGGTAAGTAAAACTTATGAACAACAAAACACGTAGGAAACTGAAAGCAAACAATATCTAACCATTGCTTCCTGACGTTTGAATACAGAAATCCAATGTCTTCCCAAATAATTCAATTAGTGATTAATTTATAGAATAACCTTCATCTCATATTTCAAGCTTTTATAATACTCAGTATTACACTATCGAATACCAATAAGTAGTGCCTGATTAAACTAAACCATTCATGGCGAATCAAGCCTTATCTACTGGTCTTTCTCAACACATATCTTACTCAGTTTCTCCGAAAATCCTAAAAAGCACCAAGACAGTCCTACTGTGATTATTAATAGACAATCTTTAGTCTTCATTACGAATTAAATTGCTAAGAAACCAACCACTAATTCCTACATACTAAACAATACTTGTAAATGAAACCAGTAACTACTAACAACCAACCGTAGTTTTCAGAATGAAAACTTTAAAGAACAATCGCCTATTCATTTTTTGATAAGCTAAACGCTCAATATCGATCTTGGGGAATTTAGGGATGTTCATCGTTAAGTCCCTCATGGTACCCAACACATCATCATAAAAGCTCATTAACACTTCCCGGTAATATCCTGTTATTTCTTTTAAGTTACATCACACAGGTTCCCCTTCCCTACAGCACCGAAATTTATTTGCGATTACTATAAAGGTCTTCAGTGTGTCTACAACTAGACTTTTTTACTCATCATACTATCCCAGCGAGAATGGGACTTCATGTGTCAGTGAGTATAAATGGATTTTTCAGAGGTCCATCAGCTCTTATTGACGTTTGGTAGCCGATTTTAGCAGTAAGTCGAGAACATCAAGGGCTAAACATAGTACTAGAGACACCCTCACTGAAACGAAGAGTCTAACTAGTCTTAGGCATCATTAGACTATATAAACACAGAAATTTGTTAGGTATATATTTAATAAGAAACAAGACCATTGACAATGAATAACAGGAAGATTTCTCAGTGTGTTGATATAGAGGCAAAAGTAGACAATACTCCTATTTACAATTAACGTTTATCCTTTACAAAAACAAGTGACTGTGAGTTTGAATTAAAGATTGTTACGGCTTTTTGCCTCGAGAATCGAAAGAAGTCAACAAGATTTTTTTTATGAGAATAGCTCATAGTGAGAGATAAATTAGATTGAACACCAGCTAAAAGAATCACCACAAAAACGAAATAAACCATCCATTACAAATTAAATGTAACAGGACCTAGCAATTTGAAAACTCACTTGTGAAATAGCACTTATTTTTAATCTTCCTCTATATTTCCGACGTTTGGCCGGTTTGTAAATATTTTTTTCTGGACTACGTTGGTCACCACTATTAATCCTCTTTTCTTGTCTGAGTTGTAACATAGGTGACTTACCTAGTATAAATTCGACATTAAGAATTCTATACACCAAGAGTTTTACAAAACCCAGTCTTACTTGCATTAACATAAATTAATGAATACGATTTCTGTACTAATAAGAGAATGAAATACTCGAAATAAAAGAGCCATTTAGTTAGAAAGTTTTAATTTAAAAATTGTAAATGATTCAAGTATCAATCAAATATTATACGTAACGACAACTGAATTTAAGGAAAAAAATTATTTCTGGAGTAGGTAACTGAATAATACGGTTAAATAAAGCACATTCTGTTAGTTAAGAAAGAAAGAAAGGAAATGAGATAAAAACGAAGTATTGGTACATAATATGTAATATGGAAGTTCATTTCAAGAACAAGACAATAAGTTGTAACTAGATAAATGATAAGCAATACATCGAGGTAGACTATGAGATTGATTACAAGAAGAGTTGATATCTTTTTGTTAAAAAGGGTATTTTAAAATGTTAATGATTGCACAATATACAACTTAACGCGTGAGTGAACTATATATTAGGGAGAAAACTTTTATGAGTATAAAATCGGAAAAATGGCCTGAGTTGTGGATGAGCTTCTTTGTGAAGAAATGAGGTTATATTATGGAAATCCGAGTATCACATATCACTGTAATTACAACGAAGTGGTCAAAATAATTATATCTCTTTGGAAACCTTCGAGAAGAGATGGGATGAGGTAGAAAAATCTTTCCAAACCACGGTAATTCTGTTTTTCCAGATTTCACTAAAAGAGGACAAACGATAGTGTAATGTTTCTTTATAAACATAAACAGGCTCTATACTCAAAAACAGATACAGGCGAATTAAAGATAGAAATTCTGAAACGAGTAAAAAACAGATGAATCAACAGTATACTTTATGCACTGAAATAAGCTTAATGAACACACAGAAATATATACTTTTGTGAGCGCCATATATATATATATATATATATATATATATATATATATATATATATATATATATATAGTTTTCCCAACAAATAAGTAGGAATTAATGTATTTATAAGCAAATAGTCCTGGAGCATTTCACAGAAAGATGTAAGTTAAAAGTGATTCAATAGTCACTGGGTTAAAGTTAATCTTTCTTACCAGCAAACTAAAGCATTGAGTAGTATTATTGAATAGTGAACTCGTATTAATAGATTAATTTGAAATATATATGTTACATGTTTAGATTAAATGGTGACTGGAAGTTCTACTAATGACTACCGGTGCAACCATTAAATAGAAGGGAGTTAAGGACCACAAGATAAAAATCAGTGATTTTAGTTGAAAGGGTAAAACATCAACCAAGTAGTGCCCATTGTCTGGGAGCTAGTCTAATCTAAAAATTTAACACTGGTTTTAAATCCTAGTACTCGATTTTGTGTCATTGATATGAATCAACATATACTATGATATTACTGTCTGAGTAACTACATTGATACAGGGTAACTAGTAAGTCACTTATGTTTAGCGTATAAACAAAATATTGTGTTAAGTGTTGTGTTATCAACCGGTTAGTTATGATTTAGATAATTAATTTATATCACTTGTTAGTGGATGAGTATGATAAAACAATGGACTTGAAATAATTGCCGCCCACTCAGATTAGATATCAACTAAGTAGAAACAGGTTCACGCATCTAGCTGACCAGAATCCATTTTAAGTGCTAGTGAGAACACTCGACAAACCACTTTAGAGACAGTGCTGATTTCAGACCTAACCACAAAATACCGACGCCAAATGAGGAGAATTAGTATAACAATTCTTACTGTCTAAGGATGACTTGTGAGTGTGAAACCAGAAACAGCAGTTGAAATTCGTGGTGGAGGAGGAGGAGGAGGAGCACAATTTTGGTGATTTGACATATGAGACACCCGATGTGAATTGAACAGTCGCTTTTCCTGCATGTTTGCATTCAACGGAGTACAGCTACTGCTGCTACTACTTTTCGAACTGAGCATAGAATCTCGTTTAACTGATTCCTGTGTTTGGTGTTGCTTGCTATCAGAATTATTAGCGGGAACATTCTGTCTTGGGTTTCCAAAAGAAGTTGAACTAGATCCTGTAGATGATGCTGCAAGCTCGTTTTGTTGAGATAGATCATTACCATTAGAATAAAAAGGAGGTCTTAATCTAGACTGATTGCCTGCAACACCACCAGTAGCAGAGAGACTTTGTGCCAAATTAGAATTTGACTGGGAATGTTGCTGTTTTAGTGACCGTACATTTGGTAAAACTGAATCTTGTTGTCTAGAATGGCTGAATCCCTGAACCCCAATGTGGTTTGACGCGGATGTTTCTTTGGGGCGTGATTTCGTATGTCCAGGAATTTCATGAGCGAAATGACCTGACTCACTACTTGTACTAGATGTTGAACTGGAATAGCCTGAAAAAGTGGAATTTAGGAAACAAAAAACCATTAAAAAATTAAGTAACATCTAAACTAATGGTTACAGCCAAAAATCCTTAGAAATTTTGTGGACTGTAATTTAAATAATATATTTGGAAAACATAAGGCTTAATGAGTGTAGATACATGAAAATATGAAACGATAGAAAAGTCAAAAGAAATCAGTAATTTAATTTTAACAGATAATTTTGAGGATAACATTCAACGTTGATTAACTGAGCCCGTGACTAAGTAGGAACGCTTACAGTCAAGTATTAAATACGATTCAAATTAACAAATATCATGAAAGGTTTTTGCAGAAAACTTACGCAGTTGATCATTAGTCGCTCATTAAACAGTTGAAATGAATATTTTGTAGATGAAGACTAGTAAAAGATACTTATAATTTAAATACCCTTAAACAAGGAAATACTAATTACCCTACACTAGAAATAAAACACGATGAAGGGAATAATTGCAAATGGTGTGAAACGTTACTCGGTAATATTTCACCTTATTTGTAACAAAATTGTGTTAAAAACTGTTGAATAAACATAAAAACTATCGGAAAATTAGTTTGTTACGAGGAATAACAAAGCAGTGAGCATCATGGTTATCTGCAAACACGTTTTTGTCATGAATCTTCAAATAAATGATACAAATCAATGTTCATTGTAGTAAAGTTATCAATGATTACCAACTACGAAACAGTATGAACTTTATCATTAATGACTTTGATTCCATGGATATGACCAGTGTTTGATAATCGGTTCAACTGAGATAAGTAATAAACTTCATATTATGTCCTCAAATCCCAGAATGTTGTTGGACATAATTACTATTGATGACTATTATTATTATTATTATTATTATTATTATTATTATTATTATTATTATTATTATTATTATTATTATTATTATTATTATTATTATTATTAATGGCTTTATTCAATATTATATTTTGGTACAATATAGAATTCTCAGCACAGGGTATTTCAACAAGTTACTTACTGAACAACGAACAAAAGGCAGTAGCGAATACATAAAGAAATATATAAAATAAAAATAAAATAAAAAAACCCAAAAGAAACTATAAACTTTTAAAATTAAAGACATGTTAAGAATGTAAGTTAATGACTAGGTTAATTCTAACAACCTGTTCGTCACAGAGTATATTTGCTAGGTAAGGTATTATAGAACTTTTATACTTTTCCTTGCGTGCAAGGATTTTAATGTAATTACTTCTCGTTCTACCAGAAGATATACAAGGAGAAAGATAAGAGTGAAGGGGATGGCTAGTATCTGATAAAATAATACCTACCAGGAGTTTGCATGATTTTAAATGTCTATCCACAACCATATTAATTATGACCTCGAAAGATTCACCACACGTCTTACTAACTGCCTTTAGTACTCTTCGCAATACAGCAAAGTCTTTTCTCAAAAGCCCGGGAAAGAATAATGGAGAACAGTAAAGAATAATAGGTAATATGCAAGAATTGACAAATTGTAAGAGAAAATGACGAGTAATTCCAAGAGCATGCAATCTCTTTATGTAGTAGGTCAGACGGAAAACCTTCTTTGATAACGATAAAACGTGGGAAGACCAAGACAGATCAGAGGAAAAGGTGACACCAAGATAATTGACCTTCGACACCGCGTTTATCAAAGAGTTCCCGATGGTACAAGCACTATGGGATCTCAAAATAGTGTTTATATTCCGTTCATGTCTCATACTAAAGTTAACAGCTTGACATTTAGATGGATTAAGTATGAGACCATTACCAACAGACCAACAATCAATACGAGACAAAAACTCATTCATTTCTATGGGATGTAAAGAGGAAGATATAGGCATACATACAGTGAGATCATCCGCATACTTCACAAAAGTGTTTTCTGTGGAAGATGGCAGGTCATGCAGAAAAAAAGAGAATAGAAGAGGTGAAAGAACAGCTCGTTGTGGTACACCTTCCTGAGACAGTAGAGAATCTGAACTCTTTCCTCCAAATACAGTGTACTGTTCCCTTCCAGAGAGGTAGGAACACAGCCAGTTGGTTATCCAGCTGTCAGTGTTGACGCTGATTAACTTGTTAAGTAAACGTTGTCTTGGTATAGAGTCAAAAGCTGAAGTATAGTCTAGAAAAGCACATCGAACATAGTTCTTACCCTTTTCTAAGTTGAACACTATGTTGTGATGCAGAACTGCAACAGCATCTAAAGTGCATCTTTTGCGCCTGTATGCAAACTGGTATGGGTCAGTGTGCCCTTTTATCGCAGGCTGAAGTGGAAGTATTAATAATTTTTCCATGGTTTTGAGGAAAGGTGAAGTTATTGCAATAGGTCTAAATTTTACATTCTTATCACCAAATGCTTTCTTGGGTACAGGAATTATCTTCATCTTTCTCCACATTTTTGGTATGAGATTAGATGAGAAAGATCTGTTAAATATAGTTGTGAACGGATGACACAGAACGTCAGCACATTTTTTAAAAAGGATGTTTGGGATACCATCAGGACCCAAACATCGAGATGAATTAAGCGACTGGAGACATCCTCGTACATCAGTTTCAGTGAAAGTATGAACACAGCTATTTTTTAAACCCGTGGATAGAGGGAGCATCACATCAGATGACTGACGTACAAAAGACTTATTTAAGTCACAAACATTCAGCTGGTTATCGCTTCTAAACTTTCTGTCACCTGTAAGTTCTTTAAAGAATTTCCACATACTTGTAGAGTTTTTGCAAGATAAGAGTTTTTGAGTAAACATGCAGTTGAGACGTCTAATCTCTAGGTTTATCAGACCATTTAGCTTACGAACTTCATTTGAGTTCTTCTCCTTGTACATTCTTTCTTTCAACCTCCGTAGTCGTTTTAGTTGTGAAGATGTAAGTCGATCAAAACTTACAAAAATGGTTTCAGTGGGATAACAAATATCAAAACAGAATTTAAGGTAACAAGTGATAACATCAGTAGTGTTTTCGAGTGAGTCATCTGTAAATAATTCCCAGTTAGTCGTATGAAACATGTTTTTTAGATTTCGGATATTTTCTTCTGAGTAATTCCTATATTTGACTTTCTTGGTTTGATGTAAGAGTGTACTCTTCTCATGCTTTCCATATACTTTAGGTAGAACACGAATTAAACAGTGATCTGAGCTAGACAATGGAGCACGTTTACGAGTTGCATATATACCCACATCATTAATGAAAACGAAGTCTAAATGAGCATCCAAACGAGTAGGAAAATCTACTACGTTTTGGTGACCTAGTGACGTAAGGAAGCTACAGTCACATGAATTGAAATCACCACATACAACTGAAAGTGAATCACTGAAGGCAGTAACAGCGAACTCAGTGAATTCATGGGCAAAAACAGATAGTGCAGATGATGTGCAATCTGGAGTAACGTAGATATTGGTAACATAAACATATTTGTATTTATTCAGATGTTTTGGACGACATCTCAGAGTTAGACAGTCGATAAAGTCATTTGAAAACTTAAAGCACACAAACGAAGATCGACACCAGTTTATGTTTACAAACGTAGCTACACCGCCACCACACCTTTTTTTATTGTTCGATCGATCCTGACGATAAATTTTGAAATCATGTAGTGATACAAGGCAGTCATCCTGTAAATCATTCAACCAAGATTCTTGAATTGTGATGACACCACAATTACGATACGTATTTTGACTAAGCAGGAATTGCAGATAGTCCACTTTGTTGATTAGTGATCGGCAGTTAGAATTTAGTAGCTCGGGAATCGACATACGATTGATGTTCATTCTCTTTAACGCATATTGCCAACCACCACGATGTCTTTTATAGTACTTTTTCGTAACTTGTGCAGCGAAAGGTTGTAGGCTTTTCATAAAAGCGCCTGAATAGGTTATGCGGTTAATGGACATAATTATAAATTAAAACAAATGAAAAACAGATAACTTGTTGAAATAATCAGATGGCAGAAACAGGTAGCCCAGATATTCAAGCAGGCCGCCTATAGAGGGGACATTCGTTCGCATAGCAGTAGACAGTTTTATAAAACTTGGTACATATTTGTCACTAACCTGAAATATTATCCCTATTTCCATTATTCAATCGGGGCCCACTGTGTGGCTGTTGGAGATTTGCGTTAGCAGCTATATTTTGACCGTCTGCGATCAACTGACGAATAGGAGCAGCAAGAGGCGGAGCAGGTGGATGATACATCGGTGGGACGGTGCTATACTGACTGCTATTCCCTTCTCTACTTGCTGCTCCGATTCCATGAGATCCAGAAAAACCCGGATTGTAATCAGGCATGCTAGCACCAGCCCTAACAGTTAAACTAGTACTTGTTGTATTGTGTCCCCAATTGGGATGAGAATGTGCACCAACTTCACTGACACTATCAACTTCTTCTAGGCTTAAGCAAGACATATCTGGAAAATATGAAGGTAAAAAATTATTAGCTGACAAAATTTATTGACTTCGGAAACAAGTCGAATAGGAAAGAGAAATATACAACTTAATATATCAGAATGAAACGCAACAAATCAAAAATAAGAAACGGGTATTCATACTGAAACAATTTGTTTAAATAGCTACGACTTTTCATTTTAGTGCCTCCAATAGGCTCAAAATTCTAATAAAGAAGATATATTGATTAATTTTATTCATGAAACAAGAAAAATATGCACCACAATATATTTCTGGCTATTGGCAGTGGGATTGAGATGTAGTGTAATGAAAATAGAATGTGAGGTAAACTTGATCTAAATAGCACACTAGGTTTAGTCAAATTGTGTTAACTAAGAAAAGACATAAATACTCTAACCTCTGTAAAAAAAAATTAAATCTCTCAAGAGAACGAATGGAAATATCCAGCAGATTATACGTATTAATTGCGTAATATGTTAACAAGAATGGTAAGTTCAAAAAGACAAAAGTAAAGCAATAAAAGAGTAAGATAAATGCTTACGTTCACTTATATCCCGGAAGACATAATAACATTGTTCCGAAAAAGTTAACTTATTTACAATATGCCGAATGTATCCCAATTTGAGCAGATTAGATGCATACTTTCGGGCTTCCCGGCGATCGGTCAAACCATCCAAGTGACGGAAAAGCCAATCAACTAGATCAGAACCTTGAGGGTGAAGTAAAAATCGTACGATGTGAAACTAATAAAAAGACAAACTGAAATATATCAGTGAATGAAAACGTTAAAGTATGTACGCATAAAACTTCTTCAAAATGTTGTTTGTAGGAATGAACTAGGTTAGACACGACAAATAACAAATAAATCTTAAAACCACGTTCATGTGAAAACTATGACAAGAAAGAAGAAATGTCGCAGCAGATTATTTAATGCGTAAAAAGTGATGACACTAGCACATAACGTTGAATATAACAATTACGGTGACTCTATTTGCAGAATGATACATCACACATAATTGGTAGCTTTAATCATTAAACCTTTTCAACCATTCGTTTTCGAGTAGAGTTCAACTTAATTAACAGACGAAATTATTCTAATTAGTCAAACTAGTGAAAGCCTAGTGCCCCAAATGCGACAAATAATTGTTGTAAAAGACATCAATTAGGACCATTAAATTGAGTCGCAAAAAAACTTATCGTTCCACAGTTTATTCACTCGTATAATATTACTAACCGAGGATTTTGTTAAAGACGAAATAGGATAAGAAACGAAGCCAATATACATGTACATGACTTTCTCCTTTTATAATTAACCCTCATAACTTACCAGAAAAACGAAGAAATACTCTTAAAAATTTAATGTAGAGATCTAGATCAGCGTAGAAACTTGAATTGATTTAACTTAGTACATATCTATATCTTTGGCTTTGAAACACATCTAATGTGCGAAGGTTGAGGAAGCTACATAAATTTCTAATCAGAAGCTAAGACTCAATCGTTAAATGTCGACTGACTAAGTCTTTGAGTAAACCATACTGTCCCAGCTATTCGACCTCGAAAAATATTATGAAAACTATGGATAGGTATACACTCCACCACGAGCAAAAACAAAAAGTCTTATCAGATTTATTAAAGTGATAAAAAACTCTTCAACCGTACCACCTTAAATAAAATGCTCTCTGCCGATGGACACTGTTGTTGTCTCAACTTCAAGAAATTAAACTATCTATTAAAAGTTACCACATAAATAACTACGAAATATGCTGTGACCCGTGTTATTTCAGCTGTATACAGAATAAGCAATTTGAAGCTGATTACATGCACTAGACATCTAGGCAAAGCAGGAGTAGAGCAGACTTTAAAAACGGTAATCCTAAAAAGGAATTGGCTGACGAATAAAAACTTATCCAAAAACTTACAACTAACCTATAAACGCGTTTGGTACGGTTAGCTTGAGCCACATACGATCCCTAATATCAAGACCAGAATCAGGTTGGAGCATTGCACGAATAACTGTGGGAATACTTGTCGATAGACCTAATGGAATGGGGTCTGAGTAACGTTCAATCTCCGGCAGCGAGCTGGATGCAGTAACAATGCTAGGAGCGACCTACAAGTATTAAATCATAAACAAATGAACAATCAATGATGTAAAGAGAATAAATAAAATTATCTACAAAATAGAAAGGATATTACATTTATACATGTGAATGAACGTATTGTCATGACCTTGTTTCATTTGAAAAGACTAAGGATGTATCCAAGAGAGAACTAGCTAGGCACTTAGTTGACCAAGTAAAGGTTTTCAACCTGAGATATCCTGGAACGGTTCGTAGTCCGCTTTAACAACAGTGACGTCTGTTAACAACCTGAAACAAGAGATTAAAACAACCAATAGATCTCTGAAGCCTAAAGTAAATTTATAGACTCATGGAAACCCGTACTGTATGTTCGGGGAGCAATAAAGGATTAAGACAACTTAAAAAGACTGACGAAAAGTCTACATAAGGGCCGAGAGCGATGCTGAGAAATGAAAGTGAAAAAAAGGTATGAAAGTCGGGGGGACTGGGAACGCTAGACACTTTGTTCAAACTCATCGAGTAGATTGACACTAAAAAATTCAGCTGTTAGTGAAACAATTTCGAAAAAACATGGGGCAGTGATCCGCTTTCAGTTTATGATATTGGAACAGTGGGTAGAACGCCTTAGAGAACAATTCGATTGGTCTCGAAATACTCTTCAATTACCTGCCACTTCACAAGTAATCTGAATAAGATAGATATATACGTACTAGCATCGATATTCTATCTCGTATTAATGATAATTATGTACTAGTGAAATCAACTAATTTTATAAAGTATTTTTTTAATCATATCCATGGTGTGACAGCTAGGAATATGAACTAGAAGAGTTGAAAACCATAACCTAATAGTTAGAAATCGAGTATCTGAGACGCCACCTTATCCTTTTGAAATGAGAGCATCCAACTGAGTGAAATTTTAAATTCATTTTAAAATTATTGTGAAAAATAATCTTTTTTCCGGTGATCCGAAAATTTATGCTAATTAAGAATTTATTAACCATCGATTGCTAAGATTAGAATTTTGATGATTTACAGTAATTACCCTGTCCCGCGAAAAAATAACATTTATCAGTGAGAAAAAAAACGAAATAACATCCTAGTTGATATCAACGCTTTACCTGTTGAGTATAACCATGGGGAAGTAATAAATTTGACGTAGGATAAAACGCGGGTTGTGATAAATGAATTCGTTGTTGAAGTAAATGTTGTTGCTGCTGATGTTCTTGTTCTTGTTGCTGTTTTTGTTTAGAGGCTGCAAGTAAAGCAGCCATATTGAACGCTGCTGCACTTGTGCCTAGCGGCATTGAAGTTTGCCCTGATGTCAAAGTGCCCATACTCATACCAGGGGTAAGACCAGGGGGACTAAGAGTGGAGCTAGACTCACCACCTGACGAGGCACCAGTCATGGAAGTCCCATTAACTTGTCTATGTATATCACTACTTTGAACCTGTGAGTCTGGTGTGGTCATTGCGTTGGTATGTAACACCCAGGCACGCGGATCAATAGGATGTACAGGTTCTTGACGAGGTATTGTAAAATAACGTTCGGCTGGATTAGGATCCCAACATTTAGCAACAACTAATGTAATAGGTCTACGGAAAACAGTATTGAAAGTTACAAAAAAAACAAAATTTTGCTACCGAGAAAAAAGACAAAAACTCAATTCATTCAAAAGCAAAGTAGGTTTTAAAACCTCATAATTTATTATACTTGTGATAAGCTAGGAATTCGATTGTATTGACCACAAAGTTTAAAAATTCGTCATATAACGACTTAAACATATTGAGTATACGGTCGAAGATACTATTCTAAAATATTTTCTACGTTTTGTTGTGAAATAAATCTCGTCTCGATGCCCGATCAGAATTATCTTTCAAAATTACCTTTAAAGTCGAACGGGTAAGATCAAAAATATCATAAATTAGAAACCCGTGAACTGCAGTGGTTCTAGCAATAAAGTGCTTTAACCCTGAACTCTGGGTTCAAAAGTAGTAAGTGCAGTTTCATTTCACAATCGATCTAACATTCTAGTTCTTCTTATTCGATGATCACTTCCAAATCTTCATAATTATTATCCAGTTACTATTAACATCCTATTTTTTAATTCTTCGCATCTGTCAAGTGTATTATTGCCTCACATGTCTGATCCGTAAACCATTTTCATCTTACTATATCTATTTAACCTTGAGAACATCAACCAATATTCTTGTGATACTTGAAATTTTCAAACATCTTATGATATAATCTCCTGATTTTCAATGGATTACTATATTTGACAAGCAACTATAAATATGAATGTATAGTTTCAATAAATGAAAAGATTTTCTTCGCCGAATTGTCTTTATTCCTTCTTTAATGGCCCAAAGGATCTCTTCCATTATTTGTGTAACAGTAATGCACTAAATAACACTGGAAGGCACAGGTAGTATATATGTCAACACAACATCATCCTAAAGAAAGTAACAAATGCCATTGGCAGATATGATTCGTGCAAGTAAAGCCTACGGAATCTTCGGATATATCGCTTAACGAACAGAACACATTACATAGAATTTTGAGGATATAACAGTTTCGTGTACAAAGAATATATGGCATTTGGTGTAAACATAGTATACGTGTTCGATAAATAGTAAGACATGTTTGTAAAGTCAGAAGTGCTATCCCGTCATATCAGGAAGTGAGTTAGCACATAATTAACGTTCTGTAAAACATAATCCTATTATTTACTTAGGTAGTCAGTATTTATTTGAGTGATTTAAAGTTTGTTTTCGTTAGTTCTCGATGACAACTGTGTTAAAATATATCCTTATGATGAATAGCATCCCAATTAGAATACCTTATACTTCCAGACGTACCTCAACCCTTCATGAATCTTAAAATAAAAAGAAACAAGCTTTTTGAATTTTGTCTGAGAGAATTAGACAGTGATATAATAGAGCAACAACCGATACCTGTCCCAAGGACGAATAATTTGGGAGTTTATATAATTATATGACAAATTTCATTTCTGCTCAACAATGGCATAAACAGTTCGGTTCTAAACACTGAATTTCATTGTTTAGGAAACCAAGTAATATTATGAACTTACCCAGGACGCTGAACTTGCTCTCGTAATGTGCGAACTGCATCGTCATTACTCATTTCTTCAAAACTAATTCCATTTGCTTCCAGAATCATATCCCCAGGTTCAATTCGTCCATCTTGAGCGACAGCACCACCCTTCATGATAGAACCTACATAAATCCCACCATCTCCAGATTTATTTGACTGACCAACTATACTAATACCCAAGAAATTGACGATATCCATGTTCAACGTAACTGCCACAATATTTAAAGACATGGTGGAGTCTGTAATACTGCTGAACGAAGAGGCCTATAAAAGATTGAACATAATAAAAGTTTAAGTCTTCTGAATAACTTGTAGATATTTCCAAAATCAAATAGCAGGAAGCTGAGAAAAACTATTATTCTCTGTTGCGACCATAAATTCAGATAACTAATTCAAAATAATTTACAAATAGGGGGACATTTAATATATTTCTAATGTGGAGGTGTAGTTGCATAACTTGTGCACTAACAAATAGGATAATAATAATAATATATTATTTCCAATCAATTGAAATGGCACAGGGTTAACCATAGATTATTTCGGCGATATGACAACATCCATATTGTATCATGATGTCACTTAGCGTCTACATTTCAAACTCATCCATGTAATGTCGTTAGCAATGAGGACCAATCATTGAGTGATATCCCTAACGATGTTAAATTGTCAATTAAATATACTTCAAATGTAATGAGTGGCAGGTTAATGGTTAAAGTATTCGATTTCTAGCCACATGTGCGTAGGTTTGAACCCCAACCCACTTCGATTTAGACAGCGGGGTAGAGCAAAAAGCTCACGTTACAAATGTGACTCAAAACGGAATACAGTAAACCTGAACCTGATAGTCACATTAACAGTGAATGAAATGTGGAAAACTCCTAATTTTAAGATAATTGAAGAGTAATGAGTATTAAATTAAATGTACGAAATGAACAAAAAAAATATTGCACAGAATAAACGTACTCGGCTGATTGGTGGTGGACGCCTACGTCTTCGTCTGCGACGTGCACGACCATACCGACGGGAAGATAATGTTGTTCCAGTGACTGATGAAAATCTGGTTTACAAAATCAAAAAAGTTAGTTATTAAATCTGAAGACAACAATATAAAGTTCTACGGGAACATATATTATCAATTTAGTCTATATCACTCAGATAAGCTTATCTAAATCTACTATCGATTTTTGAACTTCAATTAGTAACAAATACATCAACATAATATAAACTTTACCATCCCTTAACGGGATCTTTAGATTAAGTCATTTGCAACCAGAAAATACAAACCTACGCGGAACGTAACTGACCTGCTAGATTCTTCTTCCGAGTCTAAGAAGCTAGTTGATTCTAAATCAGAACTCATCATTGAAGGAGCTTCATAGGTATTTGAACTAGGCAAATAACGATAGTGGCGATGGCGTGAACCACTATGGGTTGTCTGTTGAGTAATATGACTACCACCACTCGTTGTATGGTGATGTCGACCACCTAAAATCAAGCATAAATGTGAAATTCGCACGAAGTCAGGAAAATGAAAGAAAAGTAATATTTTTTGCGAAATTACTGAACAAATAGCAAACAATGAAAGAATCACGGAAGATTCATTTGATGAGCTATCACAGAACATGAATGAAGATAAATAAGCGTTTAAAGCAAAACTACGTACATGGTGAGATCATGTAAGTAAAACAATTTTAACCAACAAATTATAGTTAATATCTTAGGAAAATATCGCGTGCACAGTCATATTAAATTTATACCGCTGCCGATCATTTCATGTATGCAAAGTAACAGAAAACTTAAAAAGCTGAAAAAGGACTTTCAATAGATACTACTATTGCAAGAGAATATATTCATAAATTCTTATTAAATTATAGTGATAAGCTTTTTTAAATCATGCTGATTGTTTCTCATCTAAATCAAATTCCAAAAAATCAGATAATTTTTTTAAATACTCAGTAGTCAACACACATATGAGAAAAAAAGTATTGAATAAAAAAAGTATTCGTGAATTGAGTGGAAAATGTACATATGCCAACGTAAACATAAACTACAAAACAAGACCTGCAATTTAAGAAATACAAATACTGATACACATATTTTTATTTGAAGGTTCAGTCAACATTGAGATCAATCATCTTAAGAGCTTTGATATCGTGACAAAAACTCTCAGCTGGCCTCATTATCAGGTATGTTTACAACACAGTAGACGTATTTAGTCTCTATTTCCGGAGGAGTCACATAAATATCTTACAACGTTTCTTAGTGAATTTTTTATACAGAAAATGAAAAACGTCGATGAGCATTTTAGTAGTGAAGTGGTATTATTGTAGGGCACAAAAGTATATTTTTCAGTGTCTATCAATAGTTCAGACACGGAACAATATAACTTATGAGACTTCTTATTTCTGCAACAATTATCATCAGCCAACATCTTAGGAGAAAGACTGACTTCATACTAGTTATACTCTCAAGACAAGCCTAGCAGTGCAAAACATTCCAAAACATTCTATAAACTAAACAGTAACAGAATAAAATTAACTTGTACCCAGATCTCTCCACCCTTGAATCCCATGCTAATTTGACAGCGGTCACCCGTGCATTATTCGTATGAAGTCTATTGAGTGGAGTTTTGCCCACTGACCTAGCATGAATCAACAGATCGCAAAATTTGTTAACAGCTGCTCAGAGTGCCAGAAAGCAACAAAACTAGACAGTCGAGTATCGCCAGTCACATGATCACAACTTGAAGACCTATAGTCCAGAGTACATAGATTTAGAAGGCCTATCAATGACATTAAATATCTGGTTCTCGTGGGTTCCTAGTCAAGATGACCAGAAATTTTCCTATGCCGCCACAGTTCATCAACAAAGCTCTCATCGAGTATTGACAGAAAGTCTCCGAGGTAACAAATTGTCAGACACTATGGTATCAGATAAAGTTTCGCTACATATCAGAATAATTCGAAGACTTTTACCACCGTCATTCAATAAACTATGTGAGTTCGTCATTAGAATCATTCACAACCGTATGGACAAGCTGAACGTTTTGTTGATAATTTAAAGCGGGAACTTCTAAGGTCAAAAGTGGGAAACAAGGAGTAAAAGTCTATAAAACTTCGTATTTGTATACCAGAGTTGTGAATTATTAGCTTATTCCACAAACGTACCACTGTTAGATGGATTAAAATTCCTAATAAATAAACCTAAATATTGATCTTTCTATTGAGTAGAAAATTCATTCAGAGATAACCCAAAACATTTAAACTTGAGTACAGTTACTCTAGGTCAACCTAACAACTTAAAACAAACAAGCAGTAATCCAATTTGCTTCATTTTTAACAGCACAAGATACATGTTAGTGGAGATGACTGAGAATGAAAACATACGTTTAAAAGGGAGATTTTGCTTTTTCAGGATAGTTGTTGAGCACAAACATCAGTAAAAATACGTCATGTTGAATAAAAGAGAAGGAAATGATGAATAGCCGACAATAAAAGTGAAGTGATTCAGATATAAATTCATTTAACATAAAAGCTAAAAATGTTACATCGATCAACCTAAGAAGTAGGAAAGATTAAGATTGTTCTAAATAGGCATCTCAACAAAATAATCAGTCCTACAATGTTAAATTATCAACTTATGAGTGCATAAAGTAGAATCATTCGACAGACTTATTATTATGAGAACGAACAGGAAAACCATTATTTTTATTACTAACATAATTTTATAAAACACAAATAAGATAAATATGGGAAACTTACTAGATTTATAATTGTGAAAATTCCGTAGAGGAGCAATGCGATCTATTATATTAATTGAACATAAATAAATAGATAGATAACAGAAAATGTGTATTCTGATTTTAATAATAAAAGTACTTATGAACCCTGTCATATATGAAAGTGTGAGCAGAATAAACAAGTAGCCTCTGTCATCTGGACCACTACTGACTAAAAGTAAGACAATTCTGGGTAGATGCATGATGATAGTTTGATTTTCAGATAATGGGATGAATACCACCGAAAAGTGCATGTTCAAAAAGAAAAGTTAGTGAATAATAAACATTAGCACACGTCACCACGTGGTTTTTGTTTGTCCTTACTGAGGCGTAGGTTTGAAGAAAGCTAGGGGCGGCCAGACCAAAACATGGCACAAGTCCATGAAGTCACTGACAAGTGGACCGAGTCATGTTGGTAGGTGTAGACTACCTGGTCGGGGACAGCGAGACGATAGCAACCGATGGTTAGAGACCCTGAATGATATGGCTCAAAATCGTTTGCAATTGCACAGGTGCATCCACTCTTTGGGTTCTTGTAAATTCTAATCTCCTGAATCCTCCTTGTCTCCTTTTTTGTCTTTCCAAATTTACTTCACTGGATTATACTCTTTAAATAACATCTTCAAACCCTAATCTTTCCGATTACTGCTTATACTCTTACCGCATCTACCACTACGGGATTTGAATCGACAACTGCACCTCTGTGCTAATGTGGTGTGGCAACTCGAACTGATTTACGTACGTACGAAGTCCTACGTTGTTACTGACTGAATGATCACTTCCCGGCTGCCCACACCGTGGAAGGGTATTTCTTGAGGAACCTGAGAATGAAGTTGGATTAATGACTGACTGACTGACTGAGGCGATCACGAAACTGATCGATTTTTGTTACTAGTCACGGTAACTGCAAGTGCTATTTATTTAGCTCAATTTTCTGCAAAGCCTTTACCCTTTCCTGACTTGTCATCACTACTCTTAGTTCGTTAATTTTCTGGAACCTCGAACGCTACTAGACGAGTCAGAGCTTATGGCGAACTGTCATCAGATTTCACAACCTCAAGTGATGTCCGACAAGGCTATCTACTACCCTAATCATCTGAATTCTCCGGAACTGACCTCTTGCCAGAAGAGTACGCAGATGACATAGTGCTGTTTGGTGAAGAAGCTGACAAAATGCAGTCTTTTGGTAGCACTGAGCAACAATACCAGGATGTTTGGAATGTGTCTCTCCCCATTTAAATGCAAATTGTTGCTTCATGACGGGACGAAAAGTCAAAATTAGATTAATTTGCTCATTATGATTTTCGTTTAACATTAATTCCGTTTTAATTCAATGTGACGATTGCTCAGTATAGTATTTGTCTTGTTTTCCCGTATGACATTTTATTCTGTATAACATACGATATTCTTGTATTAAGTTAACATGAACTATACTCAGCATGTGATTTGTTATAACTATGTGTTTTTCATATATGTGACTTTGACTTAAGTCGTGAGTGCTGTTAGAGGTACTCAAGACCACTGCCAGTCCATGTCGTCCCATGATATCTTCATACCCGGTGTTGTGCATTCCAATGTTTAGGTCTCCCATCAGGATGGTCTGGTCCTTTCCTAAGCACTTTGCTATGATCGATTTCAGCCTCTCATAAAACTGGTCTTCGTCGTCTTCATTGTTATCATTAACTAGTGGATAACATTTGAGAACATTCATTGTGATTTGGAGGGAAGAACAAGGAAACAGCTAACAACAACAGCCGGACAGGAAAAGAGAAAGTCAAGGCACACCTAGAATACACAGAAACAAACAAGCAAGTGAAGAGGACAATTCGAGCTGACAAGCGGAGATACGTGGAAGACCTAACAGTCACAGCGGAAGAAACTGCAACAGAAGGAAATGTCAAACAACTATATGACGCAACGGAGGAACTGGTAGGGGGACATAGTAAACCAGAGAGGTTAGTGTAGGACAAAGAAGGCAAGTCAATCACTGAGATTCAAGGGCAGAGAAACAGATGGGTAGAACACTGTAAAGAACTCTCAAATAAGCCAGCTCCATTGAATCCACCGCAAATCGAAGAAGCACACACAGACTAACCTATAGATATCACTCCATCAACAATCGAAGAAATCAAAAAGGCCATCAGACAAATCAAGAGTGGAAAAGCAGTAGAACCTGACAAAATACTACCTGCAGCACTACAGTCAGACAGAGAAGCAACTGCAAACAGGCTCCACGTTCTATTCAAGAAGATTTGGGAGGAAGAACAAGTGCCGACAGACTGGAAAGAAAGATACCTCATTAACACACCAAAAAAGAGATCTGAGATCTACAGAGGTATCACACTGCTATCATTAATTGGAAAAGTTTTCAGGTGTTGCTGAACTGGATGAAAGATCCAGTAAACGTCCATCTATGAGATCAACAAGCTGGATTCCGCATGAATCGGCGAGGTCTCGTGCTGTGGGCACTTTTGGCTAGGTAGGCTAGTAGTTAAGCGCTCGCTCGCGAGACCTACAGGTCCTAGGTTCGAATCCCGTGGTGCGCAATCGTGGACTCGGACTCCCCCCAATGCCCTGGTATGGCGGAGTGTGGAGTGGCCATCCTCCCTCTCTAAATGCTCTCACATGGCCACGCGTATACAGCCTCTGCCACGGAAGTCCTATTCACTGCCTTCTCATGGCGGGGTTGTTTATGAAATTGAGAGGACGAAAAGCGAATGTCCGGCACTTTAACCGGGTTGGTGGACATGGAGAGTCCACCTAGAGGAGTTGGAAAACCCTGATTCCGAACCAATGGTGCATATGAGCTCCAGTATCCCGAAGGAACAAATGGCGTATGAACCTATTGTTGGTCACCGGCTACTATGGGACTGCATCTCCTTACGATGCTCCACTGCCTTATGGGTCAGACCTTTGGGTGTAAGGTTTGGGGTGTGACCCCCTAAGAAAACCACCTGCTCCGGTTTGGGCAACCAAGCAGTATCTCAGCTAACACGCAATTAGAATGAAATGAAAATATTTGCTGAGAATACTATTTTCGCTTCGATTAAACGTCAGACAATTCACATTATTTTTTTACTACGTCACTTATTCACTCGCTTTTATTCCCACTTTTTGTCGCACATATATATTTGGTGCCCTCTTGTGCCAATATTTATGTGTTCAAATAAATAAATAACACCAACCTCCTTAACTAGAGGAGTTTGGTAGTGTGGGGAGGAGGACCTTGTGGAACCTTCTCCCACACTATGATGTGCCTGAGAAGATCGTCAGCACCATACGAAATTCATACGACAGATGACACTGCAAAGTCATGCATGTAGAACAGCTGACAGACTTATTCCAAGTGAGGACCAGAGACAGACAAGACTGCCTACTCTCCCCCTTCTTCATTCTACTAGTGATTGACCGGATTATGAAGACCTCCACATCTAAAAATAAGCACGGAATACAATGGACAACTTGCATGCAAATAGACGATTCGGACTTCACAGATGACATAGTCCTCCTATTCCATACACACAAACAAATGAAGGTCAAGACAACCAGTGTAATGGAAGCCTCTGCATCAGTAGGTCTCAACATACACAGGGGAAAAAGCAACATCCTCAAATACAACCCGAAGAACACCAATCCAATCACATTTGATGGAGAGACTCTGGAATAGGTAGAATCTTACATGTAACTGGTCAGCAGCGTCGTCGATGAACAAGGAGGATCCGGTGCAGATGTAAACGAAACGATCGGCAAAACAAGGACAGCATTCATACAGTTGAATAACGTGTGGAACTCAAAACGACTATCAGCCAACATCGAAGTCGGAATCTTCAATACGAACGTCAAGACAGTTCTACTATTCAGAGCTTCATCTTCCAGAACTACCACAACCATCATCAAAGACGTACAAGTATTTACAAACAATTGTCTACACAACATACTCAATGTCCGTTGGTCGGATACCATCAGTAACAACCTACTGTGGGAGAAAATAAACCAGCTTCTATCTGAAGAGGAAATTGGGGAAAGACGTTAGAAGTGGATAGGATATACATTGGGGAAGTCATCAAACTGCATTACGAAGGAAGCACTAACTAGCAATCCTGAAGGAAAACATGAAAGAGGAAGACCGAAGAACACTGTCGAGAATTGGAAGTCTACATCAAAAGGATGAGTAGGAACGGGAAAGGATTGTCTAGGATAGAGTTCGGTGGAGAATGCTGGTGAGCGGCCTATGCTCCTACACGGGGGTAACACGCTTAAGTATCATAAAGATATACTCTATAAGAGGACACTATGATGTTAGCAGAACAAGCCCATACAGTATAATACGTGATCAATATTTAGTTATTATACTACATGAACTAACACGTCATAAAACATAATAAGTAGATAATGGCTCATGACTAATTATTCAGTTGGACTATATGTCCAGGCAACAACAATGAGAGGTAAACAACCCTTAGAATCATTCTAATAACAGAGCTAGTGACTTAAGTGTTACATGTTCATTACTAGTAACAGAATAGAATCCTGACTATTGTATCCTCAGGCTGGGCACAAATCGGATTACGCTGATTGGTCCATCTCCAAAATAATCAGTATCAGAGAACGAATCGAGAAGATACCAGAAGACTCATGTAGATTCCATATAAACTCAAATGTTTTTAATGCTAACTTTTGTTGCCCGGGTTTATTGGAATTTAGATTGTTCCCACCCAGTCCTGGTTCTGATTTGGGACAAGTCATGGTCAAGGAATACTAGGCAATTAAGATGAAAATAATCACCAGTTGTGAGTAGCATTTACGAACCGAAACGAGTAGTTCAACCATGTCAATGGTGAGGCAATTACCCACTGAAGGTAATGGAAGACGGTTGCTAAATATCGTGGGTTGATTAAATCTAGGCACCAACACCGTTGGATGAGCACTGCTGAGAAGTTCCACACTAGAACGAAGTGGCCGTTCAGTGCCCCCGGGTTTTCAATGGTGGTCTAACATTGATCGGTTTATAATCTCAATTAAAACTCAACGATCTCCACAGCCCTGTACTAACAAAACGAAAATCGCTTACAACTTTAATCATCTACAAGAGGTTTGCATTGTCATTGAAAAAAACTCCAAGTTTATCCACGTTTAACAAATGACGTAACAGGCAAAAATTGACTGAAAAATAAAAACTAACCTTGGTTAGCACTATGTACAGATTCCGTTTCTGTATCGTAATTTTGTCCAATATTTCCTCTATGACCCAGGTTTGCAGAAGTAGAATCAGCTGGAGCAGCGGTTGTATGTGACTGAAGTACACAAGAGTTGATTTTGCATTCGTTGTTGCTTTCAAAAAAGTTGTAAAGTAGATTTTATTTATTATTTATTTATTTTAACACAAAGATATTGGTACAAGGAGGCACCAAATATATATGCGCCACGCAAATCTCATTTGATATGTGTGAGGGCTGTGATACTGCCTGGGTGCCCAAACCGGAGCAGGTGGTTTTCTTAGGGGGTCACACCCCAAACCTTACACCCAAAGGTCTGACCCATAAGGCAGTGGAGCATCGTAAGGAGATGCAGTCCCATAGTAGCCGGTGACCAACAATAGGTTCATACGCCATTTGTTCCTTCGGGATACTGGAGCTCATATGCACCATTGGTTCGGAATCAGGGTTTTCCAACTCCTCTAGGTGGACTCTCCATGTCCACCAACCCGGTTAAAGTGCCGGACATTCGCTTTTCGTCCTCTCAATTTCATAAACAACCCCGCCATGAGAAGGCAGTGAATAGGACTTCCGTGGCAGAGGCTGTATACGCGTGGCCATGTGAGAGCATTTAGAGAGGGAGGATGGCCACTCCACACTCCGCCATACCAGGGCATTTGAGGATGAAGTAGATTTTATAAATAATTATTTATTGGTTTATATTAACTAGATTAGTTTTCAATGGACACTTTCGTGTGTTATTACAAATAACAGAAAGCCAGCAGATACTCCGAGAATCATAATCGAAATGTGTCAATTCAAACTGAAAGTAATGCAGTACGAACACCAGAAACACAATTTCCCATCCTAGCATCAAGTATTGCGGAAGAATTAGGATTTATGACAGAAGTGACATTTTAGCTCATGAATTATGCATGTAAATAGACAATTTCGGCACCAGTTTGTAATCTTTGGGTATAGGTATATGAAGATACTGTGACCGTGTACCTACCTATGGTAACACAAAATGAGAACACTATCGTTCATTATTTGTAGATCAATTCATTCATACCACCATAAATTCAGTGAAAACCTACATATCTTTCTTGGATATCCTGCACTTTCTATTCATTACACATTGACCGTGAAGAATGCGGATTTACGTGTTTGTTGATTTATGCTTCACAAATATTTGATATCCCAAGGATTTATAAGATACTTTTGATTTAAGTTAAGTAGGTTTCCATATCAACACTCTCAAAACAGAATAAAGTTGACGGCCGAATTAAACTTGTTACAAAACTGAAGTCAAGTTAAAAGAAAAGCAAGTGAACATGTAGGCTGACAATTTCACGTCTATTGTTCATAGGCAAAATATTCGGCTGACTAACAGTGCAAAACCAAATACTTCTTGAGTCACAACTGAATTAGAGATAAGAATACGTCGCTACACTATTCAAAACTTATGACCTAACTGAAATTATATATATGTTAGCAAACTTACCGCGTATTATTTGACTCCAAATCAAGGTTAGGATCATATTTACTACTATTTACACTAGCGTTTGCCTCAACTGAGGGGTTGAGAACACCTGGATCAGATGCTATACTTTCATCTGTAGTCACCAACTAAAATGGAGAGCAGAAAAACAAAGTCGAATTGTAACTAGCGACTCGGTGTATAAGGCAAGCTATGACGCTAGTTATAACACCTTTAAAAGTAGCACAGTAAATTCTAGATTTTGACACCATTATCATCGAAAATCATTTGATACTTATAAGAAACAGCATTACAAAATTTGATTGCTCTAAAAAATCAACGAATACTTCTCATAACAGTCAAAGGATAGGGAGTGAAGTGGTCGAACGCGTTGACAACTTCACTTATCTTGGAAGCCTGATCAGCCTTAATGGGTTGGTGTCTGACGAAATCTCAGCACGGATTCGAAAAGCTCGTTTGGCTTTTGCCACCTTACGTCACCTATGGCGAAGGCAAAATATCCGTCTATCAATAAAAGAACGAGTATACTGCGCGGCAGTCCGTTCTGTTTTAATTTACGGCAGCGAAACATGGCCTTTAAGAGTAGAAGACACTCGTAAGCTACTAGTATTTGACCACAGATGCCTCAGAAATATTGCTGGCGTCTGCTGGGATCACCGGGTAAGTAATAGCGAGGTTAGACGTAGGGTATTAGGGAAGAATGGTAAATCAGTTGATGAGGTTGTGAATCTTCATCGACTGAGATGGTTGGGCCACGTGTTACGTATACCCGAACACCGTTTACCATGATGCACAATGCTGACCAGTGTTGGAGACGGATGGAAGAAAGTTACGGGCGGTCAAACCGAAACGTGGCATCAGTTCATAAAATCACTAACTTCTAGTCTAAGCCGTGTTGGTAGAAGCAGACTACTCGGTTGGATCCGCATGACAATCAACCCTACCGAAGCTGCTACCTTGACGCGGTGGTCGGGCTTGCCTATCATGATGACCCAACAGAGCTATATTGGCTGGAACATATGTTCCTGTAGGTTCTACCATGCCAGGCAGGTCGATTGGAGAACGGTAAGACTAAAAGCAGCAACTCAAGGTCTGAGGGCGAAGTCGTACTGCTGACTGTAGAGGAGTGTGACAGCAGTAAGGTGTTTCCCTCGAACAACCAGCATGACAGCGATCCTGCCTTCCCACAAGGAGGGGTGGGGTTAGAAAAGATCGACCCTAAAAATGCACACCTCAACTTACCTCACGGATTTCCGTCTCCGGCGATAAGGCCCCTTGAAGAACGGAGCTAACACATTAAAAACCTTCCACGAAAGGGCCGTGCGCGACCGGCCTCAAGCAGTTGTCCCTTGGGCTCTGCGGTCACGCTCCCAGGTCGTCAAGACCAACACTAATCCGACTTCTTTTTCAGGTTCCTCAAGAAATACCCTTCCACGGTGTGGGCAGCCGGGAAGTGATATCAGCCCTCATACCCGTAACAGCACAAGAGACCAAGGTGGTCACATTCAAATCCTTCCTACACCTCCTAATACCTCTCTTATCCTCCCGACTAACCCTCCTCACGTCTCTTTATCACCTCGCACCGCTAGGGCAAACGATTCGAGTACGTGGAACGCCATTCCTGGTCTCCTGAAACCACGCTCTAAACTACACGTGGGAGCTTTAAACGTACGAACACTGTGACAAATAGGACAGCAGGCTTAATTAACCACGACATTAGAATCCCACGCCATCGATGTGTGCTGCGTCTCCGAAACGCGCATACAGGATCCAAGTAGCGTCATTCACTTGACCTCACCATGCCAAAATAAAGAACCGACTCGATTCACACTTCGTGTATCTGGAAGCCCTGATTCTGCTTCCCGTGGCCTCGCCGGCGTAGGTATAGCATTGAGTCCTAGGGCAGAACTAGCTCTCTTAGAGTGGATCCCAGTAAACAGTCGTTTGTGCGCTGTCCGACTGAACGGAACAGTAAGAATCCGGAAAGATAGGGACACTCGTCGTTGCCTCTTCGTCGTCTCTGCCTATTCTCCCACTGACTGCAGCGCAGATGATGTAAAAGATGAGTTTTACAGAAAGCTTTCGGACCTTCTCCGAAAAGCTAAGCGCTCGGATGTAGTAATAGTGGCCGGTGACCTTAATGCTCAAGTAGGTAAACTAAGCGATAAGGAAAGACACCTAGGTGGATCCTATGGTGTCGTGGCTCAAAGAACAGATAATGGCGACCGTCTGTCGCAGCGATGCTCAGATAACCGCCTGTTCCTTGCAAATACTAACTTTAAGCATAAACAAAAACATCTTTTAACATGGCGACCCCCTAATTCGTCCCAACGTTGGACCCAAATAGATCACATCGCTATCAGCCACCGATGGAGGGGCTCGATAGAAGACTGTCGCTCATTCTGGAGCACATGCCTAGATTCAGATCATGCTCTAGTGCGAGCGCGTATTTGCTTGCGTCTTACTGGACGTAGGAAAGACGCTGCAAGGACACCTCTTAGGGCCCTACTTAACGATAGTCAAGCTAAGAGTATATTTCAGGAACAACTAGGAAAACAATTAGGCAGCCATGTATGTGATGCCCACCCCAATGCAGCATGGAATGATATCCGAAAAGCTGTGGAAACAGCAGTGATATCTGCTAGTAAGGTAAACTAGAAGGTTAGGGAGAAACACTGGATCTCAGCAGCATCTATCTCACTGATAAATGCTCGGAAACACATTCCACCTGGCTCTGAACATAATGAAGAGCGGAGTCAGCTTAAGCGCAAGCTGACAAGAAGTCTACGCAATGATCGTGAACAGTAGTGGGTAGCGAAAGCAAGAGAGATGGAAAAGGCAGCGGCAATAGGTAATAGCAGACAATTGTTCAGACTTGTTAAGGAAACCAAGATTAAGAAACCGACTGTTGGCGAAACACTCTCAGAGAAAGATGGACATATTATTCATTCTCAATCCAGGAGATTGGATCGATGGGCAGAACACTTTAGGGATCAGTTCAACTGGCCTTCAGCCACACTTCGGTTTCCCATGATCTCTAGTCAACCTAAATGGCAAGTTAATGTAGGTCCTCCGTCTCTTTACGAAGTTGAAAAAGCCATAGGAAATCTGAAGCGAGGGAGAGCAGCAGGCCCTGACAGGTTTACTCCTGAGATTTTTAAGGATTGAGGTCCAGTATTAGCAGTGAGATTAACTGAGGTCTTGGGTAGAATTCGGGAACTGGACGTAATCCCATCTGACTGGTCTCAATCACTGATTGTGCCAGTCTATAAGAAAGGAAAAAAGTCCTCTTGTGACAATCGCAGAGGAATCAGTTTGACAAATATAATGTCTAAAATATTAGCCTCAATAATACTTCGACGCCTAACTAAAGCTCGTGAAGAGCAGACTAGAAAAAACCAGGCTGGTTTTCGACCTGGACGTGGTTGTATAGATCAGATATTCACACTACGTCAGGTTCTAGAACACAGACACACATTCAGACGCCCCACAATGGTAGTATTTCTCGACCTTAAGGCGGCATTCGACTCTATTGATCGTGAGGTTCTATGGCAGTGTTTGTCACTGAAAGGAGTACCAAAGAATTACATTAACCTTATAAAGGCTCTCTACTCGAACACAACTGGTCGAGTGAGAGCTTATGGTGAACTGTCATCAGAATTGATCACCTCATGTGGTGTTCGTCAGGGCTGTCCACTCTCCCCATTCTTGTTCAACTTTGTCATTGACGTACTTTTAGAGATAACACTCTCCTCATCTAAATGTAATTCTTTGGTACTCCTTTCAGTGACAAACACTGCCATAGAACCTTACGATCAATAGAGTCGAATGCCGCCTTAAGGTCGAGAAATACTACCATTGTGGGGCGTCTGAATGTGTGTCTGTGTTCTAGAACCTGACGTAGTGTGAATATCTGATCTATACAACCACGTCCAGGTCGAAAACCAGCCTGGTTTTTTCTAGTCTGCTCTTCACGAGCTTTAGTTAGGCGTCGAAGTATTATTGAGGCTAATATTTTAGACATTATATTTGTCAAACTGATTCCTCTGCGATTGTCACAAGAGGACTTTTTTCCTTTCTTATAGACTGGCACAATCAGTGATTGAGACCAGTCAGATGGGATTACGTCCAGTTCCCGAATTCTACCCAAGACCTCAGTTAATCTCACTGCTAATACTGGACCTCAATCCTTAAAAATCTCAGGAGTAAACCTGTCAGGGCCTGCTGCTCTCCCTCGCTTCAGATTTCCTATGGCTTTTTCAACTTCGTAAAGAGACGGAGGACCTACATTAACTTGCCATTTAGGTTGACTAGAGATCATGGGAAACCGAAGTGTGGCTGAAGGCCAGTTGAACTGATCCCTAAAGTGTTCTGCCCATCGATCCAATCTCCTGGATTGAGAATGAATAATATGTCCATCTTTCTCTGAGAGTGTTTCGCCAACAGTCGGTTTCTTAATCTTGGTTTCCTTAACAAGTCTGAACAATTGTCTGCTATTACCTATTGCCGCTGCCTTTTCCATCTCTCTTGCTTTCGCTACCCACTACTGTTCACGATCATTGCGTAGACTTCTTGTCAGCTTGCGCTTAAGCTGACTCCGCTCTTCATTATGTTCAGAGCCAGGTGGAATGTGTTTCCGAGCATTTATCAGTGAGATAGATGCTGCTGAGATCCAGTGTTTCTCCCTAACCTTCTAGTTTACCTTACTAGCAGATATCACTGCTGTTTCCACAGCTTTTCGGATATCATTCCATGCTGCATTGGGGTGGGCATCACATACATGGCTGCCTAATTGTTTTCCTAGTTGTTCCTGAAATATACTCTTAGCTTGACTATCGTTAAGTAGGGCCCTAAGAGGTGTCCTTGCAGCGTCTTTCCTACGTCCAGTAAGACGCAAGCAAATACGCGCTCGCACTAGAGCATGATCTGAATCTAGGCATGTGCTCCAGAATGAGCGACAGTCTTCTATCGAGCCCCTCCATCGGTGGCTGATAGCGATGTGATCTATTTGGGTCCAACGTTGGGACGAATTAGGGGGTCGCCATGTTAAAAGATGTTTTTGTTTATGCTTAAAGTTAGTATTTGCAAGGAACAGGCGGTTATCTGAGCATCGCTGCGACAGACGGTCGCCATTATCTGTTCTTTGAGCCACGACACCATAGGATCCACCTAGGTGTCTTTCCTTATCGCTTAGTTTACCTACTTGAGCATTAAGGTCACCGGCCACTATTACTACATCCGAGCGCTTAGCTTTTCGGAGAAGGTCCGAAAGCTTTCTGTAAAACTCATCTTTTACATCATCTGCGCTGCAGTCAGTGGGAGAATAGGCAGAGACGACGAAGAGGCAACGACGAGTGTCCCTATCTTTCCGGATTCTTACTGTTCCGTTCAGTCGGACAGCGCACAAACGACTGTTTACTGGGATCCACTCTAAGAGAGCTAGTTCTGCCCTAGGACTCAATGCTATACCTACGCCGGCGAGGCCACGGGAAGCAGAATCAGGGCTTCCAGATACACGAAGTGTGAATCGAGTCGGTTCTTTATTTTGGCATGGTGAGGTCAAGTGAATGACGCTACTTGGATCCTGTATGCGCGTTTCGGAGACGCAGCACACATCGATGGCGTGGGATTCTAATGTCGTGGTTAATTAAGCCTGCTGTCCTATTTGTCACAGTGTTCGTACGTTTAAAGCTCCCACGTGTAGTTTAGAGCGTGGTTTCAGGAGACCAGGAATGGCGTTCCACGTACTCGAATCGTTTGCCCTAGCGGTGCGAGGTGATAAAGAGACGTGAGGAGGGTTAGTCGGGAGGATAAGAGAGGTATTAGGAGGTGTAGGAAGGATTTGAATGTGACCACCTTGGTCTCTTGTGCTGTTACGGGTATGAGGGCTGATATCACTTCCCGGCTGCCCACACCGTGGAAGGGTATTTCTTGAGGAACCTGAAAAAGAAGTCGGATTAGTGTTGGTCTTGACGACCTGGGAGCGTGACCGCAGAGCCCAAGGGACAACTGCTTGAGGCCGGTCGCGCACGGCCCTTTCGTGGAAGGTTTTTAATGTGTTAGCTCCGTTCTTCAAGGGGCCTTATCGCCGGAGACGGAAATCCGTGAGGTAAGTTGAGGTGTGCATTTTTAGGGTCGATCTTTTCTAACCCCACCCCTCCTTGTGGGAAGGCAGGATCGCTGTCATGCTGGTTGTTCGAGGGAAACACCTTACTGCTGTCACACCCCTCTACAGTCAGCAGTACGACTTCGCCCTCAGACCTTGAGTTGCTGCTTTTAGTCTTACCGTTCTCCAATCGACCTGCCTGGCATGGTAGAACCTACAGGAACATATGTTCCAGCCAATATAGCTCTGTTGGGTCATCACGATAGGCAAGCCCGACCACCGCGTCAAGGTAGCAGCTTCGATCGGGAAGCAACAATGCAAGCATGTTCGGGATGCGATTCTACCCCTCGAAATGCAAAATGTTGCTTCAGGATTGGGTAGCATCGACACCCGAACTAATAATAGGGAGTGAAGTAATTGAGCGTGTCGATCGCTTCACTTATCTTGGAAGTCTCATCAGCCCTTGTGGTCTGGTGTGTGACGAAATCTCAGCACGGATACAGAAGGCTCGACTAGCTTTTGCCAACTTGCGTCATTTATGGCGTAGGCGAGATATCCGTCTATCAACCAAAGGACGTGTTTACTGCGCAGTAGTTCGTCCCGTCCTACTTCATGGCAGTGAAACATGGCCGGTAAGAGTAGAGGATATTCGTAGCATACTAGTATTTGATCATAGGTGTCTTCGAAATATTGCTCGTATATCCTGGGACCATCGAGTAAGTAACACAGTTGTTAGGAAACGGGTACTAGGTAAGGATGGCAAATCAATTGATGACGTAGTGAAACTTCATCAGTTGAGATGGCTTGGACACGTGTTACGTATGCCCAACGACCGACTGTCTCGATGTGCGATGTTCAGTGGTATAGGAGTAGGTTGGAAGAAAGTTAGAGGCGGCCAGACCAAAACATGGCACAAGTCCATGAAGTCACTGACAAGTGGACTGTCATGTTGGTAGGTGTAGACTACCTGGTTGGGGACCGCGAGATGACAGCAACCGATGGTTAGAGACCCTGAATGACATGGCTCAAAATCGTTTGCAAATTTTGATCTCCTTATTCCTCCTTGTCTCTTTTTTTCTCTTCCCGAATTTATTTCACTGTATTATACTCTTTGAATAACATCTTCAAACACTAAGTTTCCCGATTACTGCTTATACTCTTATTACCTCTACCACTACGGGATTTGAATCGACCACTGCATCTGTGTGCTAATGTGGTGTGGCAACTCGAACTGACGTACGTACGTACGTACGTACGAAGTTCTACGTTGTTACTGACTGACTGCATGACTATCATAACCAATGGTTGGAGACTCTTGGTGACATGGTTCAGAATCGATCACAATGGTGTAGGTGAATACACTCTCTGTCTTCCCTTAAACTATGAAATGAAAATCGCTTCATATCTTTCTTTCTACGAACTAATTCTTTCTTCTTGTATTATGTCCTTATGTGCAATCTTTCTTTTATATATTACCACCTCTGAACTAACTACTTTTATGAATCCGGTGTTCATCTTGTTGTGTTAATGAGGCATGGCAACTTGGACCGATGCATATATGTGCCTGGTCCTATATTGTAGCTGACTGACTGACTGAATTAAGGGACGAGTATATTGCGCGACAGTTCGTTCTGTTCTACTTCACGGCCGCGAAACGTGACCATTAAGAGTAGAAGATACTCGTAAGTTACCAGTATTTGACCACAGATGTTATTAGATATATCGCCAGCATCTGCTGGGATCACCGAGTAGGTAGTCAAGTTAGACGCAGGGTGTTAGGGAATTATGACGGTCAACTAACAACTAATATCAAATGGAACCAAGGGTTGCATTACAAGTGTAGCATTCATGCTACGTATGCTAACAATCTTATTAATACACCTAGGAATGGAGTTCTGGATAAGTGAAAAATAAGGTAATTGTGTCTAGCACAATAAATACATAAGTTTTCACTAATGTAGCGTCAGAGCACTTTTACTAAATAAAAACAAGTACAGATAGTCTGAATATCTTACTACTTGTATCAGGTGCATAAGCTTATAGCCCACATCTTTACTACGTTCATCCACCACAAAATTTTGACAGAGGAGCGGAGAACGACATGATGGAGTGGATCAAACCACATAAAATGGTAACTGAGATAAACCTGGAATTTAAATACGCTACGAAAACTTAAGCTATAAAACTTGGTTTGAGATTCAACACATATCACGCTTAGATAAATCCTTTTACTAACCGCTTTCCTCCTTATTCCTAACTAACAGTGAGGTATGATAAGGTTGTCCAGTCTGAATACTTCCCTAACTTGGTCATGAGATATATTAACATCGGGGAAATAAGTACTGTATATCCGAAACCTTATCAATGAAATAAGAATTAATAAATATGATGCGTATACATACCCAAGAAACGACACGGCCATTGAAACAAGGGAGTGGAGCGTTATCTTCGAATATTTCCTCCTTAACAACCCTAAGAATTACAAGAAAATTAGGGATTAAGAGGAATCACATAAAGCAGCAAGAAAGCGTGACTAACTGCTTCAAAAGACAAACATAAAGCTTAGACGAGTACTTACTCGTTGCTACGCTTCACATAAGCGATGGGAGAAAATCAATAGGGGGACAGTGTTGATGACGAAAACTAAACAAGGAATATTGTACGGAATGATCAAGTGAAATAAGACGCAAGATATTTCTGGGAGAGTCTTATGGCGCGGAAAATGTGTTTAACTCTCCCGATCAGAACGCATTACTGTAGTATGCTATTAAAAAGCGCAGAGATATCTTACTGAAAGCGTTCTTTCGAATATGTGGTCGTACTAGACATTCCGAAGAGCTGTAAACGGTTAAACCAAGTATTATTTCTAACACGTTTGTTTTCCCTTGTGACAGACATGCTTCAAAAGCTAATACTTTTTTTCGCCCATACATTTCAAGGAATGAACACTCATTTAAAATGCTTTATTGACATGAGGAACACATACGAGCCTTGAGTGACGATGCTAGATATACGGAGTGAAAATGTGTTGTCTATTACACTGACTCTCAACATACTGACAGGCATTTCAGATCGGTGGCTGAGATTCGATTTGGATATAAACAACCGCTTTCTATTAGTGCAGAGCAATTAATTTCTAAGATAAATAGGTATCCTAAACAGGCGACCACATACTTGGATATTAAAGACTAACACATTGCTGGGAGTTTAGTCATATTAAATAACGACCTGGGAAAACAGTAGTCTATCCATTGCCATCAGACCTAACAAATCCTCGTCTAAGACAAAAATCCAAAGGAACCACTTAACATACCCAAACGTCGTTCCAACGTTATTTAAAGAACGAGTGGAAGAGCTGGTTCTTTTAGACTTGTGTTTCACGTAACAAAATAAAAGGATCTCACGTAAATCAATGAGTGGTTAAGTAAACTGTCGACCTCATGCTGACTGCTACCCATATACAAAGACAGGCATCAACAGGTCCCTGAGTATGCAGCATATATCTCAATGATGAAAAGTAGTTCCCTTCCGCTAATTATACTATAAACGGCCGTAATAAATAGGTTGCAGAACATTCATACGCATTTGCAATGCCTTTTTATATTCAATAATCAACAAAAATATCGCAAAAATAACCGATCGTAAATCTCCGTTGGCAATCAAGATAAGACAATAATGAAAACGCATCGAACATGTTCAAGGAATTACTAACCCGAAATCATCGTCCAGTGATTTAAAAAAAAATTTCGAATGCGGTCTGTTTAGAGCGTTCTTGAAATCGCCAAGAGTGACTTTTTCTGGAGCAATGTTGAGTTTAACAAGGTAAGGAGTTTCTTCTTCATCGATGTAATATATGAACTTCGTCTCCCCAACCGAAGTGCCGTTGGCCATCGGGAAGAAAGTCCGAAGAAGGCCGCCTTGAAAGTACTTTGAGTGAGCTAGTCCAATCTTCAATACTTTGGAAGATTTAGACGACAGTAAAATGTGAATATTTCAGTTATTTGTTTTCAAAAACCTTGGTTCCTTAAGTACTACAACAGTGATCTATTCATGTTAGATAAAAAGCTTACAAGTTGAAGGCGTGCAATATACGTAAATGTTAAACAGGTATTCGGGGTTTGACAACGCCTTTACACGTTACACATTTATAATCAACGTATGCCAACCCAGTTAAATCAGAAGTCAGAAGTGGAGATTTTCGAAGATACACTTGGAAATCCATCTATTTATAGAGAAGCGTTTGGTTTAAGCCGGCCTGTTAGTTGCAAGGGATGCGTAGCCCATTCGTGATCTAGTGAATAGGCGCTATCGAGAGCCTTCAGCTAGATAAGTACAGCAAAATTTATGGGGTCAGAATGAGATGTCGGAGACTTGCAGAGCTATCTATTTTAGCGATTTATTTACCGCTACATCCTGTTAACCATCCGTTTTCAGTTTTCATTAAGTGTTCCATTAGGTCCAGAATCACTTCCAACCACATAAGGCAGGGTATAAAGGCAAACAGAAAACTCTTTCATACACACTTGTTGAACACTGTGGCCTAAGATCATCATATAATGTGACGAAAGTGGTTTTCAAATGGAAATTGTAAAGACATGTCTGAATAATGCACCGACCTGTAATAACTAAATGTTGGTCATTAAAATTGACGAAGCATAAGGTTTGTAAGATGATTTCTGTCCCGTTAACAATTCTATAGGTGTTGAAGCTAGTTTACTCTTCATCTCTTTGATTAATCCAGCAGATCAAGGAGTTGGCTTAAATATTTTCCGTTTTTCTACAAAACTATCCGTTAAAGTTTGCACAGCCAGGTGCAAGTAGTCGGTATAAATTTATTGAGTCGGGAAAAACACCTAGTTGTATTGAAGAGTTCGTAACAATATACTGCTTAATTTTCCTATCTCCTCTTATTTTACTGACTGTCTACAAAATTAAAGGCTTCTGTCGTTTTACCATTGTAGCGGTAAATAAATCCCCAAAGTAAATAGCTCTGTAAATCTTCGTTTATAGCATCAGACCATCACTTGCTGGTCGCCAAGGTGAAATTGAAACTCAAGAAGTACTGGACAATGGGGCGGACAATATCACAAAAGTTCAATACGGCCTTTCTTCAGGACACTGACAAACTCAACAAATTCAAGATAGTCCTCAGCAACAAGTTCCAGGCCTTTCATTATCTACTCAATGAAGAAGGAACTACTATGGAAAGCAACTGGAAGGGGATCAAAGAGACAATCACTTCAACATGTCATGAGGTCCTGCGTCGCAAGAAGCACCATCACAAGGAATGGATCACTATTGATACACTGGATAAGATTCAAGAAAGGAGGAACAAGAAAGCAGCAATCAATACCAGCCGAACAAGAGCAGAGAAAGCCAAGGCACAAGCTGAATACACAGAAGTAAACAAGCAAGTGAAGAAAAGCATCAGAACTGACAAACGTAAATGTGTGGAAGATTTAGCAACGACGGCGGAAAAGGCTGCAAGAAAAGGAAACATGAGAGAACTGTATGACACGACAAAGAAACTCTCTGGAAATCGCCGCAAACCAGAACGACCAGTGAAAAGCAAGGAAGGCAAGGTAATCACCAACATTGAATAGCAACAAAACACGTGGGTAGAACACTTCAAAGAACTCTTGAATCGACCAGCCCCACTGAACCCACCCAATATCGAAGCAGCACACACGAACCTCCCAACCGATGTTGGCCACCAACAATTGAAGAAATCAGCATGGCCATCAGACAATCAAGAGTGGCAAAGCAGCAGGACCAAACAACATTCCAGCACAGGCACTGAAAGCAGACGTAGCGGCAACTGCAAGGATACTCCACATTCCCTTCAATAAGATTTGGGATGAGGAACAAGTACCAAAAGACTGGAAAGAAGGACCTCTGGTCAAAATACCAAAGAAAGGCGATCTCAGCAACTGTAATAACTACAGGGGCATCACTCTTCTCTCAATACCGGGAAAAGTCTTTAACAGGGTATTGTTAAACAGGATGAAGGACTGCGTAGACGCCCAACTTCGTGACCAACAGGCAGGATTCCGTAAGGATAGATCGTGTACAGACCAAATCGCAACTCTCCGGATCATTGTAGAACAATCAATTGAATGGAATTCATCACTACATCAACTTCATTGACTACGAAAAGGCATTTGATAGCGTGGACAGAACAACACTATGGAAACCTCTTCGACACTACGGCGTGCCTCAGAAGATAGTCAATATCATACAGAACTCATATGATGGATTACACTGCAAAATTGTGCATGGAAGACAGTTGACAAAGTCGTTCGGAGTGAAGACCGGTGTTAGGCAAGGTTGCCTACTCTCACCCTTTCTCTTTCTCCTGGTGACCGACTGGATCATGAAGACGTCAACGTCTGAAGGGAAGCGCGGGATACAATGGACATCTAAGATGCAGTTGGATGATCTAGACTTCGCAGATGATCTGGCCCTTCTATCCCAAACGCAACAACAGATGCAGGAGAAGACGAACAGTGTGGCAGCAGCCTCAGCAGCAGTAGGTCTCAATATACACAAAGGGAAAAGCAGGATTCTCCGATACAACACAGAATGCACCAATCCAATCACAATTGACGGAGAAGATTTGGAAGATGTAAAAACCTTTGGGCAGCATCACTGATGAACACGGTGGATCTGATGCAGATGTGAAGGCGCAGACTGGCAAAGCAAGAGAGGCACATCTACAACTGAAGGACATCTGGAATTCAAAACAACTGTCAACCAACACCAAGGTCAGGATTTTCAATACAAATGTCAAGACAGTTCTACTGTATGTGGCGGAAACCTGGAGAACTACGAAAGCCATCATCCAGAAGATACAACTGTTTATTAACAGTTGTCTACGCAAGATGCTTCGGATCCGTTTGCCAGCCACTATTAGCAACAACCTACTGTGGGAAAGAACAAACCAGATCTCAGTGGAGGAAGAAATCAGAAAGAGGCACTGGAAGTGGATAGGACACACATTGAGGAAAGCACCCAACTGAGTCACAAGACAAGCCCTCACATGGAATCCTCAAGGCCAAAGTAGGAGAGGAAGACCAAAGAGCACATTACGCCGGGAAATGGAGGTAGACATGAGAAAAATGAACAAGAATTGGATAGAATTAGAAAAGAAGGCCCAGGACAGAGTGGGTTGGAGGATGCTGGTCGACAGCCTATGCTCCATTAGGAGTAACAGACGTAAGTAAGTTTTCGTCATTGGATGCTGACCACATTAGTTGAAATGCACCCCGTCATGCATCTGCATCAGATCACGAGTGAGAACGCCGTGTTCAACAACCCCTGCAATCGCTAGCCAGATTAGATAAGACGATCCTCGATATATTGATATCCTATCAAATATACCTTCGAACCTTCTCGCTTCTGTCTTTTGATTTCACTCGGTGGGTACGCTTCATATTAGAAGGTGTTACTGGTTAAAGCGTTGTCAAACTCCAAATACCTGTGGCATTTTCACCATGATGCTCTGTGGTGTTTGTATGAAGTAATGATTCCCTTGTACTTCATGACTGATTTATTTCGAATTTCAAATACAATAAGTTCGTTCGTGCTCATTTAATACTTCTTCGTTAAATCTTGTCATTTCGGGGATTCTTATTCTGCACTACAATTCAAATACTCCTAATTATCACATTGCCATAACAATGGAGCCTGTGATGGAATGGTTAAACATAAATTCAGATTTTGATGCTTTTGAAGATTATATGGAAGGTTCAAAATCTGGACTATGACCAAAGGAGATGTTGAAGATGTTAATATTGCGGCTCATTTCCTCACATTCATCGGAAAAAAACCGTACAGTTCATACATACAATTGATTGAGGAGTTGCGAAGTAGATCAGGAAGATGGGCACAAATCTGATCAATGTTTGTCCTGTGTTAGTTTTCACTCATTTAATTCATGTGTATTTTGTAATTGTAAATGCTTAACGTGTAGTCAGATTGGATGCATTCAGTCAATTTGTAATATTACTGTTCATTTCGCTTCAACTATTAATGAACTTTGTAATCCTACTCCTATTAGGTTGAATGATTCTGATGATCATTTATCTTTATCCACGACTTCAAAAATTGGTATAAAGTCACATAGCAGTCCGGAATTAAATAAAACTCAGGATCATTGTGAGGCGAAATTTTCGAATCAAACAATTTCTTATCGGATTTCTCATGTTATTGTACTAGATGATGGTTTGGCCTAATGATTCACATATTTTTGATGGAATTTCCCACAGGTCTGAGGAAAATATGTTAAGTGAATAAGATCATGACCAAGAACCTGATGCAGTTTCGATGAATGCTGATTTTTCTAATGATCCATTATTCTCCAATGACATTCTTAATAAATTTGAAGAAAATATTTCGGGATCGAATTCTGATGTCATATCAAATGTCATTTGTCCTGACAGCAGATTAATCTCTAGTGATATCCTTAACAAATGTGACATGTGTTCTGAGTTAGCCGAATTCTAGTCACATTTCTGATGTCACTGCATCGGATGTTAGGGATTCTCATAACCAATGTAGGTTGAGTAGAATCTATAGTTAGTGGTATGATGAGTCAGAGGAAATAGCAAGTTCTAAAGTATTCAGAGAACCAGTTTCTCCAGATATGAAGTTTGCGCAGGCATAAAATCCAAATCGAGTCCGAGATTGTCCTAATGAATATGAGGCAGATGTATATCTTCCACTTGATTTCTTTGCAAGTGAACCGAGCCTAGATGAATCACATGTGTTAATTACACATATCAATGCATATTTATCTGTGTATTCTAGTATGAAAGGCAAGAGGATTATGTATCTTATTTTTTATGCAAGTCGAATTTATATGATGAAAGGCCTCAAGTTATATGTCAATG